GCATCAACGTCTTCAACTCATCCCAAGTGCTAATTGGCCTTTCTCGACCCCTACGCCATGATGTAAGTACTTGATCCCACCAAGATATCGCGTAATCCACAAACTCAAGCACCGCCAATTTTACCTTTTTCTCCTCTGAATAATTATAGCACTCAAAAATCATCTCAACCTTCCTTTCCCACTCTAAATATGCTTCCGGATCGCTTCTCCCCTTAAATTGCGGAATAGTCATTTTAATACTCCCCAAATTTTCATCTACTTCATCTCCCAAGTTATTTCTACCCCGTCTTTCCATCCTATCGCCCCTATGCCTCGCTCGACCTATATCAATGTCATTTTCATCAAAATCATTATCATCACTGCGATACTCATCCCGCCTTCCTCTCCTAGATTCACGCCTACCCAACCCCCTAGTATTAGACATCTCCACTTGTCCCCAACTGAGATTAGCGATTGTGGTACCTATTTGCACCATCCATTCCCCTTACGTATCCACCTTCTTCCTAACATCACCAAGTACTTGTTCAAACCTCCGTATCATGTCTTCCGAAGTATTGTTGTCATTACCGTTTCGGCTTGAGTTGGAACCTTCTCTTTCCGACATCATGTCACGCAAATTTATATGCCTCACAAATATATCACTCGAAAACATTCAATATGACTTTTTCCCTCTATTAAACTCACCACTCGGCCTCTTACCACTCAAAGTCTCCCTTCAAGCACTTCAAAAAATCAAGTGAACTAAATCAAGTGTTTTACCGGGAATTCAACAAACCGAATAATAACCAAGAACCACGAGACTCAAGGAATTGAATGTGGTGAAATAGATGATTGTTTTGACAAGAATATGTGAATAGACTCAATAGTAAAGTGAAGAATTGATACAATGGAATAGCCCAAATCACACGATTCAAGAGTTGTTTTTGCGTTGGTAGTAAAAAAAACAAGAAATAATAATATCAATTTATTTTTTTGTACTGTACGGATGAACAGTACTTTTTTTTTTTTTTTTACTTTTTTTTTTAACCTTTTGTAAGGAAATACGATTAAACTATCAAGAACTCAATGAATTGAAATTGACGATAATTTAACGACACAAGAATGACTCAAACGACGAAGAATACAAGAATGACGAAGAAAAAATAGAAAGACTTAATGACACGAGGAACGATAATAGAAATTGAGAAAAATGAAGAAAATAAGAAAAGACTTAATAAATAACGAAAAGATATAACTTTCAATTAATTTGGAGCCTAACTCTAATACCAACTGATGCAAACTCCGTAGCAACGTTGACTACAAAACCCACAACAAGATTGTCAAACCCAAGAAAGCCAAATTAATCCAAAAGTTTAGGATTAATCCAAAAGAAAGTCGAACAAAAAAATCCAACAAGAACGACGCTTGAAAAACTCCTTTATCACGCAATCCAAGAATTGAATCTGGTTGTTTGAACGCTACAAGTTAACATTTGATAAGTTAGAAATTGTTCAATGAAGAACGATGAAGAGAAGACAATACGCCTCACTTAAATTCAATATCAAAATATGTCAAAAGTTTTTTTTTTTTACAATTGAATGAAAACTCATATTTATACTAAACATAAAAATTAAGTAAAAATCGTGTAAAAGTCGAGCATAATCGCCAAACTATGGAAAAGAATAAAAAACTAACAAAATATGAAAAAAATACCAAAAATAGAAAATTTGTCAAAAATATGGCTTATGTGACCGCGACGCTCATTTCTATACAGTCACATAGTTCAAGCAAGTTGCCTCTTTTGAGTTTCGGTAAACCTCCATGCGACCGCGAGCCACTTTGGCCTATGCGACTGCATAGGCTTGAAACTTCTCTCTGGTTTCGGCCTTCGTTATTAAATTGATCTAAGTTGATTTGACATTCGATCCGACCATGAAAGTTGCTCCATTTTGAGTCCCGAACATGGTTCCATCAATGGTTTCTTGAACGAGTAATCCTATCGCTTGTTTCACTTGCTTTGCCCTTGATCGCGTCATCGGTCCGTGATTGACTATCAACGGGTTTCGTCTCGCACTTGCCTACGTCGCGCTCGACTCCTAGGTCATATCAGAAAGCATAAGGAAGATAGGGAGTCAAAGCAAAAAATCCTCCATGACTTTACAATTATAATGCCTTGAAATGCTTTAGATTGAAAAGGTTGAGGCCTTCCCGGAAACAGTCTCACAACCCCATCACTCTCGATCTTAGATGCGGAAGAAAGCAACTTCACGGACATGACAAAAATCTTGGACGTTGCAGGGAGTTCTTAAATATATAAATTAAAATGCTTTCAACCTATCCTCCAAATGACTTTAATTTTAGATTGTTCCATAACATCAATCACAATTAGTTTAATGGTTCTCCTTTCACAGCATTGCAATTTTGCAAGGTATTCCATATAATCACATATGATAAGCTAAGCTTCAATGCTTTGAACATTATCAATTTCCAAAATAATTTCTAAGTTCCTAGAATAATTTTTAATTATTTGCTTTGTCTATACCAAAATGAAAATCATTCATTCATTCTACACAAAAACCAATTTCCAGGATTTTTCACAAAAATGATCCCTGAGAAATTTAATTAAGGAATTAAATTTTTATTCTTTTTTTTTTTAAATTATATGGAAAGAGGAAGAGGAAGAGGAGAATTGTGGAAACCAACACCGTGTATGTGAAAATTTCACACCACTGTATTAAATTCGTGATAATTATATTCCAAATGAAAGTTTTCGAAAATCTTTTGAATTCTATAAAAGCCTATAAAAGTTTTAAACGCAAGCCCATAGAAGTCTACGAAAGACTACTACTAATTCCATATAAATCTATAAAAAATTCACGAAATCTATGAAAGTCATCGCTTAAAAAATCCATCAAAATCTTCAAAAGTTTTAATTGAATACACCCCCTTAAGCTTCATTCTTTAAATGTTTTTGATTAATAGAAAAGGTTATGAAGTTATTTAGCCCTTGTTCAATATGGATTGAAATCAGATTTTTAGTAAATTTTGATAAAAGTTGATAAAATATGTAATTGAAAAGATATCGGACCTGTATAATATGTAATTAAAATTAATTGTTGACTTTGATTTAAATTAAACCAAACAGGGGTTTAAGTATTTATTGAAAACTTTAACATATAAGAACTTCTAAATAAAATATTTAAAGCGTGTTTGAGGCCCCCCCCCCCCCCACTCCTCTTTTTTGGCCAAAAATGTATTTTAGAATATTAGTTTGACGGTGAATGTGTAGTTAAAACATAAGGAAATTTTTTTTTATCACATGTAATATTATTTTAATAAAAAATATATTTTGAAAATAATAATGACTGAATAAAGATTTAGTATTATTTTTAAAATAGCGCTTGTAAATGGTGTTATACATGCAAAAGCTACTTAATTGAATATTTTATTTGAATATCATAACAACTTTGCATGGGCATTTGAACGGTTGGAAAAAGTCCGAGCACACTTGTGGTAAGTGAAAATGGAAGTAGATCAATTTCGAATTTAAGGAAGTCTCTATCTCGTCAAAAAATTAGAGTGGGAATGGAATATGATGAAAAAGGATAGTTATCCCGTTGCTATCTTTACTCAATTGAACTTTATTTTCATATATAAAATTTAAATTAGAACAAGTGCTTTTTATATGAAATAAGTTAATAGTAAAAATCTTTTCTAAAATTAGAAACCATGATAAATGTGCAATATATAAATCGTCTAAATCATAATCTTTTTGGTGCGATGACCATTATATCTCTGTGGGTGTTTGGTGAGAATTAAAATAAAATTTTTTGTAGATTTTGATAAAAAAATTTGAAATGTGTGATTAAAAAGTTGTGGGACACATAAAAAATGTGGTTAATATTGATTGTTTGACTTTCATTTAAATTAAAATCAGATTTTTATTCAAACCAAATAGCCTCTCTATAAGTTCTCTTAGAAAGCATATATGCGCTTAACAAAAAGAATTCTTCTTCGAAGAGTAAAAGAGGGTTAAAAAAAAAAAAAAAATCTTCATATTCTTTGAAGAGAAAAAGAAGGAAAATTTTTTTTTTTTTTAAATATTTATCTTCTTTGGGCCTTAGATGATTTAGAACAAAATTTAAGGGTCATATAAACGTTATATGAAGCTTAATTGAGTATTCGGGTAGGCAAATTTCGCTTCGAGACGGTTACAGGTAACACAAGTCTCGTCCCATTTATTTTTATTTTTTTAAAAAAAATTCAATACGTTATATGGAAAACTCCACGAAATTTTCATTAATTTTAATAGAAGATAAGAACTAAGATTATCTAATGAATATGATAAAAAAATAAAAACCTTAGTTGATTAAATATATTCGAATAATTTAACTTTTTAAAATAAATAAATTAATTAAAAATTTAATAACATTGTTATTGTCATACTTTAATAAGTAAGGACAATAAAATAAATTATAAAAAATTAAACGAGTATTTAAATGGGGCAAGACCCCATCCCGCCCACCTCACCTTAAAAGGATAATGGTAGTGATGGCAATGAATCGAGTCGAGCCGGATCGACCTTTTAACCCACGAGCTCGGCTCGGGTTCGTGACGAGCTGAACTCGTGGTTGGTGAAAAGACGAGCTGAGCTCAAGCCCGTGAGCTCATGAGCCACAAGCTCGAGGGGCGAGTTGAGTCGAGCCCACGAACCGCTCGCGAGCTTGTGATTTTTTTTTTAATTTTTAAATTTTTTTTGGGTAAATTTGCACATTTTGAATATTTTAAAAAAAAAAAAAATCACATTTTTTGGGCTCGTCAAAATGACTCATGGGACCGTGTGTCCACGAGCGGACAAACCGAGTAGGCTCGGCTCGTGGGATTGACGAGCCCGAGCCACCGACAAGCCGAGCGGAAAATTGTTCAATCCGAACTCGTCCCATCGTTATTCCTAAACTTTTTAGTATATAAAAAAATTAGTGTACGGACGCAATGATCACAATAGAATGAAATTGAAATATAACCAAAAATGCGTACAGGCGGAAATCTTGACATTAGGCTTGGGGGAAAATAACCCCAGACGCCCCAAACTGTTCACTCTCTTCTCAGCAATTCTGACAATGTATGGATTTTCTTTTTATGAATTTTCTCAATTTTAGGGTTATATTTTATTAATTATGAAAAACAACGTGAATTGTATTCATTTTCCAACTCTTGGTCGTTCTTATCCTTTCCTTTTTTATGCCCATACGATGAAATCAACTGGGATTGTTTGAATTTCGACGTTTTCGCATTTTTTAATTGTGTTAATTCATCTTGATGTAGTGATCTGGAGATCTTGATCCTATTTTTATGCACGCATTTTCTTGTTAATTGATTTCAGTGTCCAGATTCAGTTACAATTTCTTGACTTTGGTTTATGTTTTTGGGTCTTCAACCTTTAGAAATCCCCGGGGGGGGGGGGGGTTTACCAAAGATCTTGCTCGGTACCTTTGGTTTCGAAATCAATCATATTTAAAATTGTTTTATACGTATTTTTCAACCAGTAGATTTTTCGTCCTATTTTGTTCTTTAGCTGACTTAGTTGGCAAAATTATATAATTAGGTATGCTTAAGACATCGATGTGGTTTTTTCTTGCTAACATCGAGAAAATTGTATACGCCAAATGTGGGCATTCTTGATTACTTATTTTTTGGTGTGTAGGCAGTAGATATTGGTTTGATATTCATATTAGCGAAAAGAAGGGTTTATAGCGAGACTACGTCATTGAACTTTTGCCTTGTTTTAGTTTAGACAAAAATAGACATTAAATTGTATATGTGTAGAAAGATCAGTTGTTTTAAATTGTTGTCATTGGTTCATTATTTCACCTTGAAAACTGGCTAATTATGTTTTACTACTGCAGCTTGTTATGATTACAAGATATTGAATTCTTCATTTATGATCCAAGAGAGAAATGTTTTCTCTTTTTTATGGACTGTGGAAGTACGCCTTCAGCAAGACGGAGTTTCATGTTCTCATACTCGGAATCGACAAGGCTGGAAAAACGGTAATGTGCTCCAGTATTTTTCGTTTTCTGCAAACACAAGATTTCTTCATTTCTTCTGAATTATTGTTCTCAGCTACAAAATTCAATGGAGGAATTGATACTTGATTATAGAATAATCCACGGAATTATGATGTCCAACACCCCCCCCCCCCCCCCCCTTATTTCTGATGGGTATTCTTTAGTGCTTTGACATTTGTATTGTACGGGGACTCATGTCATTCATGAAGGTGCAACTTACCTGTGCATTCATGACAGTCTTTGCTAAATCTTCTTTGTATCAATAGAGACATGCTGTCTTGTCTTTTATAAAAGAATATCAGCTCTGCGTATTGGTATTCCACTCCACTCCAATCTGTAATTGTTTTGAACTCATTTTAATTATAAATTTGCAGGCAGTACTAGAGAAATTGAAGTCACAATATTCTAATTTGGAAGGGCTTCCTCCTGATCGAATTGTTCCAACTGTGGGACTCAACATTGGTCGAGTTGAATTGTCAAACTCAAAACTTGTGTTCTGGGACCTGGGAGGTCAGGTTTGAAATGCACTCTTATCTTGTTATGATTGATTTTCCACGATCAAGTGCAGTCTTTTTAACTTTAAGTGAAAAATGTGCTTTTAATTTACCTTCAAAATGATTGGACTAATTACTGTTTTTCTTCTTCTTGATGTTTCAGTTTGACAAGAAACAACTAGATTGGCCCTTGTTTGACCCTCATTCTCTAAAAATTCCCTTTTTTTTTTTTTTAACACGTAAACCTACCACTTCTCTCTACTTTATAACCACACATTCTCCAAAAAAAAAACCACTATTGCAAAACTCATTGCTTAAAAAAAAAAAAGGGTCTCAAACACAGTGTTAATTTTCTTAAGTATTACTATCGACTAGATTATAAGTACTGAATGTAGCTTTTATTTCATAAATGAGCTTCTTAGCACGATCTCCTTAATTATGTTTACTTCATCCTGAGAGTTCTACCATTGATGGAAAATCCCTGTGTTTCATCAGCCTGGACTTCGCTCAATTTGGGAGAAATATTATGAAGAGGCACATGCTGTGATTTATGTAGTTGATGCGGCTAGCCCATCCCGTTTTGAAGATTCAAAATCTGCCCTCGGTAAGCATTGCTAGGTGAAATGTATGTCGACTGCAACTTATGATAATGCATGTTACCATCGTGGTTTTTTACTGTTTTCATAATTATTCACTAACCTAATTTTTAATATGGTTTCCAGAGAAGGTCCTTCAGCATGAGGATTTGCAAGGAGCCCCACTTTTGATATTAGCAAACAAGCAGGTAAGCTGTTCTTTCTGTCGCCCACTAAGTTGCATTGGTCAAAGGTAATAGAATTCAACCCTGAATCATTGTGAGAGATTGATGGGTTCCATGACCCAATATTGATTAAGATCGACTTCTTGCATACCATCAATCAAATTGTCTCATTCACAAAGCATGAAAACTCCTTGGGTTGGGGTGGCATGTCAATAGCCGACATGCATTGAACATCAACACTCCTTGGAAACTCCAAGTCACGGGTTTGATGCACCATGTAGCCTGTCCAAATTTTCTTTCTTTCTTTCCCCCTTTATTTTAAAAATTTCCACATGATCACTTTCACAGACTTCTGCAACACCACATGGTGTGTCCTATAACTTTTATGTTCTTATAATTTCTGATTATGAGGTACATGTCCTCACTAAGACAAGCCTGATTTTGTATAAAATTATCAACATCATGCAAGATAAAAATTGTAGGAATTTCATGTTTAATCTGTTTATATCTACCGTATACAATTTTTGATACATTTTACTAGTGCCAAGTATAACAAATAGTCACTCAGTGTCAATAGGTTTTACCTAAAAAATTAAGATCAAAACGAAGAGAGTATATCCTTTTTGAAATGAAATAGTATTAAAATGAAAATATAGCATAAAAATGTAGTATTTTTATAGACAAGCCCCCACGCATCTACTTCTACTTTCTTGAGAAATTATGCATCGGCATATCCATGTCTCACGTGTCTGTATCTGTAGCACACGTCATTCAATAGTTGCTCCTCATTAGCTTAAAGGATCCACCTCCTGCGCTTTGAAAATGGAAAGCGGAAAATGGAAGAAACTTGAAAATTATCAACATATTTGCATTTCTAAGCTAGCAGCTTGTAAATGTACAAGTAGAAGGCCTTACTGCGCTGCTTAAACTACATATTTCTTTTCAGGATCTTGCAGAAGCTGTATCCGTAGAAGAACTTTCTCGGTATCTGGACCTCAAAAAATTGGATGAGAGACTTTACACATTTCAAGCTGTTTCAGCAATTGATGGGTAAGTAAAAAAAAACCTTTTGAATCTGATTATTGAATAGTACTGAATAAAATGGACCTATTACTCATGATATAGAAATACTTTTCAAAACAATCTGGAATTCCGTTATTCCTTGGACCCTTTTGTTTATTTTTCACATAATGAGTGAAGCTTGAAAATATTAGAATTTATAATTTGTCTTCAGGTTGGGGATTAAAGAAAGTGTAAACTGGCTAGCGGATGCTATGGAGAGAAGCAAGAGAAGTGAAATTTTGAGAGTCCGTGCAGGATCTAGTGCTGTTTAGAAGAGTATTCGTTTCTTGTTACTTTTGTTTGTAAATCAGTATTTATTTGGTTCCTAAATGATATGTTGTTGACATATGTCGACTTAATAGGTATTTTATGATAAGTTTTGCGGTTTCCTTTCTGTAACGGTTGTATAATTTACCAGCTGAAGTTCACTTTGATTCCGAATAACCATGAAAATGATGTTGTCCATGAGTTTGTTGCTGGATGGGAAATGTTTATAGCATGTCTGCTATGCATTGAACCAAATAGGAGTTGGCATAATTGAGATGAAACTAAGCCTGTTGAAATTTGTGGGCAAAGGTTGTCTTCTTTGATCTCACTGCATGCATCCCAATTTCCATGTTTAAGCCGACTAATTAAAGAAACTAGAACCAAGTTTAATGAGCCCTAGTCAAGAATTTATTCTCTCGAGTAGACAAGAAAGGAGGAAGCTTGATTCCACCAACCATTTCCCAACGCGCGAGACAAAGCTTTGGTAGAACGGATTAAAAGAAAAGAAAATCACCGGACAATAGTAATTTTTTTGTGTACCCCTTGCGTGGTTTATCAAGCGATAGATTGGCAATTTCTAGTACAGTTGCACCATATCTAGTGATCAAAGAATCTCCAATAACATACTGTCTATCTAGACGAGTTTAGTCCTAACTCGAGGAGGATCATGATCTTGTAACAGCAGCAGATTATCTTTTCGTTTCCTCTTGGGGATGAAAAAGGATAATGTAACGATTCTTATTTTCTCTAGAGATTTGTTAACAAAATTCAGCTCTGGTACAAGAATTTTTGGAACAAGCCAACAATTTTTACACGCGCACACACGCTACACCAATTGGTTAAGGGCAGATCGATATAATTGAGTTATCGAGGTAACACAGAAGATCAGGCTACGGTTGTTTTTTAGTTTTCCGTTTTCCATTTTCGATTTCAAAAGTTTTTAGCATTTTTCGAAAACGCCACGTTTTGGACATTTATAATTGAAAACACTCAAAACGATAAAAAAACTGTTTGCTTTTCAGTTATAAATTTTATCTCATTTTTGAAAATAACGAACCAAACGCGTTTTCTGCATTTTCGAAATGGAAAACGAAAAATGACCCGAAAACGCCAAATCAACCGCAGCTTTAATTTTCAAGAAGTTGAAATTTGATCTCACATTAACAACGGGTAAAAATTTACATCAGCATATGAACATGCCACAAACTCGATATCCATTCTTACATTCATTATCTTCCATCTGTATCTCTGTATATAGCCAAATCTCCCTCTGATTCCTCCGCATCCAAAACTGAAGAAATCGAAGAGAAAAGGCCAAAACAAGGCTAACATAGAAATTGAAGTAAATTGGAATGTAGATTTGTAACACCTCATATTTCAGAAATCTATAACAGGATGGAAGGCATGCCACCAATTTCCTTTGCACACAAATTATATCTACAAGTAAAGGTATGATAAACGACATAAATCCAAAGGGATTGATCTTCGGTAAGTATCTGCCGCTTACTTCTCTTTCAGAACCTGCATTCATCTAGAAATGCAAAATGGACCAAGTTAAAAATAATAAGATGAAATCGTGAATGGTTCAAAAATAAATAAATACCATCATCCATCTCAGAAGGTTTGGTCCTAGTGAAATGTCAGATAATTGATGATTTACCAATCGTGGTTGTTTTCATACCCTAAGGTATTTGATGAAATTTACTTTCATTAAAATAGAGTACAAGAAAGACTAGACAACCACTTCTTTTACCTGCTTTCATCAATTCAATGGCAAGGTTTTGCGCATGCTTCAATATGTGAAAAATCTTTCCAACATCTTCAAGGCAGCCCAAATTTATTCTTGAGAATAAATCCTTGAAAGCATTTTCAAGTTTCTCTATGTTTTCAACTCTATCAGCCTCCATGCTATCAGAAAATTTTGAGATCCCCTTTTCTACCTCGCAAGCTTTATTACTGGGCAGTGTTTCCCTTGAAAAGTTCATTAGAAACCTGTGCTTCTCTCTGTTGCATGCTTCTACTTCGAACCTTGCAGCCATAGAAATTGCTCGTTTTATACACGAAGCTGGAAGCTGCAATAAACATTAGCACGAGTATATTATGAAGAACAAAGCCAGGCGTATCTTTATGGATAAAAAATGCTGTTGGCTGACCACTCAACTTTCAACGAAGTTTCCTTACGGTGACAAAAACTCTTTTTACTCAACTTGGCCACTCAACTCAACTTTCCTTTCTGTTTAACTTACATCACACAATCAACTTCCAGCAGTAAAATTATTGAGTTGTCCTTCGTGGCAGATTGCCATGCTGGATATTCAACCGGCCACATTGGACAATTGGTTAAGTTTACGAATGGAAGCTGACTTCTTGGTGTAACTGAAATAGAAAGGAAAGTTGGAGCCAAAAATAAAAAATAAAAATTGGTGACTAAATTGAACCTTTGCTGAAAGTGGAGGTACCAGTAGTGGTTTTTACACAATCTTTACAGTCAGAACAGAGATGCAAGAACCCAAGATCTCCTAGATTACTTCACAGAATCTAATAGATAGAGACAGGATGAAAAGTATGCATTATTTATCAATTATCAAGATCAAAATATTTTTGGCCCGTTAAGCAATTGTTTCCATATGAACAACACCAAATTTAACTATCAAAGTATACTCAACCCGTCATCTATGAAGTGATTATTTCAAATAAGTTCCTTGGGAAGAGAGGGCAAGCTAACCTGTGCAAGCTGAGCAACCTTAAATCCAAAACTTCTCTCTGCAACCCCAGGTACGAGTTTGTAAAGATAAGTAACATCATCATAATCCATACTGTCCACTTTCTGATTAGAAATCAATTCAACATCTGGCTTGCTCTGCGATGTCAGATATGAAACATGGTAAGCTCCGACCGATCCTGGAAATTCCTTCTTGATTTCAACTATTTTAGGGTAATGTGTAACAAAGAGGACTGGGCATCTTTTATGCTCTAGAAGATAATGAAATGTCGCATAAGCAATTGCTACCCCATCGTGTGTACTCGTGCCTCTACCGAGCTCATCAATTATAACCAATGAACGGGACGTGCAATGCTGAAGAATGTGAGACACCTCGCTCATTTCTTCTAAGAAAGTGCTCTTTCCCAGTTGAATACAATCAGAAGCTCCCATTCGAGTGTAAATCCCATCCATCACATGCAGTTTTGCTGATGATGCTGGTACAAATGAACCAACCTATACATCAGAAGCATAATATGATGAAGATCAGCCAGCGTGGTACTTATGTTCTGAATATAGAAACAATTAAATCAGACATAATATTTCACAAAAATGACAAAACAATGATATTCAATGGATTACAAATTCACAACTACATGCAAATGCAAATAACGTTAGAAGAAATGCTACAGACACTTAAGCACAGTGAGGTGGCTCATATCCAAGAATACATTGTAAGCAATCCCCCTTCTTGCACACATACAGAGACACAGGATTTTCCAATGCTGCAGGGACCACATAATCTCCTCAACAATTAACAGTAAGGAAACAGTGGCAATAGTATTTCGAGAGACAATCTAAAGAAACCGTCTTCCATTTGATTTAATCAACAATCCAACTCTAGTGTTTGTACTCAACACTCGTGACCAGTGAAGTTGCAAAACCAGGTATCGGTTCTTAGGGGATTGGAAAGGCAAGGCAAGAATTTTGGATATGCTTGTTTCCTTCGTACATGCAAGTTTGTACTAGTATTATGTAAATTAATTTACCATTTCCTTTCGGTGCTAAATGCAAGCACGTGTACAACCTGTGAAAACTTTCAAGAATTTATAGAAGTCATAGCTCACAATTTCTGAACTTTATGAATTGAGCCTATCTGGAAAAGCTAATAAAAATCATGAACATGAGATAGAGAGAGAACTGAATAGAGAAATTTGATATGGGATGGAGTAATCACTCTTGTTTTATCCTATCAACTACCAAAGCATTTTCGAAAGTGTAAGTTTATAAGCGTCCTAAATTATAAGCAAATAATGAGCTCACTATTAGTCTCTATTGTTAATAAACATCTGATAAGCCGCTTCTACTATAACTAATTGAAACATAAAAGACTACCAACATTCTTCAGGACAAGATTCCATGCATTTCAGGGAGCCCGGTTAACCATCCGCTTACTCCCCTCTGGAACAATTACCCATAACCACCATATCACCTTAAGACAAACAAATGAATCACCATGAAAGCTTGCCACAGTGCATATTAAACACCATAAAACATTGTGAAGGATTCTGCAGATAAGCATCTGCTGTGATCATTGGTCTTGACAAAATTGAGGACAATCAATTGCTCAGGACCTTGGAGACAGCTTGACATATAATGCTACAATTTTCAGTCAAATGCGCCTGTTAATGCTCGATAATTCATAAAGGATATCTGTATTGCATGGGACAATGTTAAAGTTTGCAGCAAATAGAAAAAAACTAACACTGAAGAAGCATCTAAGCCCCGTTGGGCCCCCACTATTTGAAATTTCAAAGGTAAGTATAGTTTTTTTTGAAGAATGTGTGGTTAAAAAGAAAAAAATTTGGGATTACGTGTAATGTTATTTCATTGGAGAATGTGTGCTGATAAGAAGAGAGAGAAAAATGAATTATAATTTTAATGGGAGCCAAAAAGGGGCTAAAGTTCTAGAAAAATTAACTCGTCATTCGCAAGTGATGGGAGAAACAATGATAATGGTGATTACAGGTACAGAGGAAGCAGAAAAGTGTTGGGGAAACGGGAAAGGAAGGAAGAATACATAAAACCCACAGGCTAGCATGCACATGGATCATCAGAACAATGTTTAAAAACTTGAAGGCGAATAGGTCAAATCAACTCAGATCAGTATAACTAAACGGAACCTGGAAAACAAAATAGACACCAGGGTGATAACATGTTTTGCTCCGTAAGATGTTAGGAGGCTGATTTCAAGTGATAAGCTTCCAAATATTTCATTTGAACTACGTCCACAGACATAAATGACAAATTACAAACATGAAATATATAAACGTATAAATGTCTATATGTTTGTAGACCAAGTTTTTATTGTAAAGTCTCAGACAAAACTTGCCTCAAGTTACGAGTTTAGTAGATTCAACCACTTTCCTCGTAAAGTCTATGTTTAGTGTTTCTAGAGATTGTGTAAGCTAGAAAAAAGGTTGAAGATGGACTGGTG